ATCGAATTCGAATCGGATCAGGCAATATCCGAATTCGAATCCAATTAAATATTTGAATATTCAATTCGATTAATTAATTATTTTAAATAATTAATAAATATATAAATTATTTATATAACTTAATTATTATATATGAATTATATAAAATATTTTATATATTATATATAAGAATTAAATAATCGGTCGAATTCGGATATTTATCGAATCGAATTAGGTCATATTTGAATTCGAATCCGATTAACTATTCGGTAAGAATAGGATATCTGAATTCGATTGATTAGATATTCAAATTATCTGAAGTCGATTCGATTATGTCGAATATCAAATTTGAAATCGGATTTTCGAATACCCTTGACACCCCTAGTCAAGAATCACATTACATGAGAATCTTGTAAAATCAACCTACACATGGATCGGTGCTTTGCTTCTCCATCTAAGCTTGAGCATCATTGTTTATGCTCGAGTACCTCCATGGTAATATTGGGTTCCAAAACACTCCAATGAGAAGGACTCGTTCCAGTACGGGTTGTCACTGGTTGATGGGATTTCTTCATTGCTAAGTCAGACTTCCCAGTTGTTTCCAGTAGAGAGATAAAATCTCACAGAGGTTTCTAGTCGATATGAAATCAAGATTTTTTATTCTTATATGATTCTTAGTAGTTGAGCCAAGAAAGATTTTGAGGGGCAACCATGGGGCTGAGAGAGAGAGAGCACTACTGAAACAATGCTTTATTACTACTACTGTTAGATTGTACCATTAGATGGTTGTAAAAGAAGATTTGATGACATTCGAAGGGCATTTATGTCTTTTTAAATGCCACTTAATGGCTAGTTAACGACATGTACTAGATTGGCACATTTTGAAAGTTAAGGTACTGAATTATCACATTGTAAAGTTGGGAGACCAAAGTGGTACTAGGTCCAAAGTAAAAGGTACTAATCAGGTATTTCCCTTTTTTTGACCAAAATCCAAAGTATGCATTAAAATATTAAGAAAAGTCTCATAAAATTCTAATGGGAAAGATTCAATGCACTCTCATGTATAGAACACCCCTTACAGCCTTGCATTGAGAATACCTCCGTACTTGTTAGGAGAGGTTGTTCAAACACTGTGAGCATGGGCTTGAACTGACTGAAACCGGGCTTGTTTCTGAAGTCCAATCCAATGGTCCATAAGATGAGCATGCGAGTACATCTCATTTTAAAATGATCACATAAAGATAAAAGCCAAAGGTACATTTTTCAAATCAAAAGATAAATGTGCACTCAATATGTCTGGTTTATCATCATCATAATCATCATTATATAGCCTTGCCTCAATCAAGTATACAGAGATCATGTTTTGCCATTCTGTGTAAGTAGTGTATCGGGATATTCTGCCAAGACAAGTATGCGACATGACTAAGCACAAGTGAACACGACAGTGTTCTATACACATGGGACTGTAGGTTCTTTGGAACACTGGCATGTTTACTCGTAATTGGTCATGTTGCCTGATTCACACACAGGTATTGGCAGCAGAACCCATGTCCTATTTAGTACCTGTTTAGGAGGGCTTTGGCCTTAGAGCAGCAGCGTCTGGCTTTGCAAGTTAAGCTCCACACAAAGCCTAAAAGCTATATTTGATTAACAATTTGAAAAGTTAGAATATACTTTAATTTAGTTAATAACTACTAAACATAATCATAAAGTTCAGTCAATGCAGTTCAATCAAAACTGAAGCCCAAGGCCCTCCCAAACAAATTCATAGGAGATTGTTTGATAATAGCTGAAGATATTGAACTGAAAAACTTGCTGTTTTATAGTTCAGTGATGTGATCTCCTTAATAGTTGAAACTTGAAACTAAGTTTGGGTAACTCATTACATCCTTGAAAATTTTATTATTTAAATATTTTAACAATTAAAAGTCAAAGCAATAAGTCTCAGTTCAGCAGCTTCAGCCATTATCAAATGGCCCCTTTGTGTCATATATGAGCGCTTAATATCATTTCTTAGTGCAATCCTTGTCTCTTCTCCTACTCCTTTCCTTTTATGTTTGGTTTATTAAAAATTAAATTAAAAATCTAACCCAAATATTTCATTCCATGATACCTCGGATTCCGGTGATTGGATGGTCAAATGTTTCTAAAATTGCACAATGCATTAGTCCTTCAGGTTTGGTCATACAATAGGATTCGCCGATTCGGTCCATGGGGTTGATCCAGAAAATTGATATCTTTTACGTATGAGCTTGGGCTGCAAGTTGGGCCGGGTTAAGTTGGGTTGAGGTCAACCCTAGCTCAATCCTAAATTTTAAACCCCAAACCTTAACCCTAATCTAATCCGACCTTCAACCTGATTTATCCAACCCTAATCTTAACCTAAACTAAATTCCTTCAACCCTAACCTAACCTAGGCCCAACCCAACCTTCTTCCCATCCCTTAAAATCTTGTAGAACTTCTTAATTTTAGATCTTAACTCAACTTTCATTACATATATTAATCTTATGTTTTATTAGTATTTGTTTACTGATGTTTTTATTGGTTCTTTAGGCTGTGTTTGGTTGCAATACAATTTTATTTGCACTAATACAAATGCATGGGAGTGCAAATGAAAAAAAAATACAAATTCTTATTTAATTTTGTTTTGGGTTTTACTTTATTCTGCTTCATGCCTTAATTTATTTCATTTGTAATGCAATCAAACAAATGAACTATGACCGTGAGACAAAGATCCCCCTTGATCGTTAAATCAGATGACGGAATGCGTTAAATTACCAAAATACCCCACTAAACTTTTTATATTTTCTTTATTTTTTTGCCCTATTTCTCTTAAAACCTATTTAATCTATTGTTTTTCCGTTCTTCTCTTCTTTTCCCCTCCCTCACCATCTTCTCTCATTCTTTCTCTCTCCCAATTCTCCGAAATGAAAAGATTGAAGAAACCCATTTCTCATCTTTCCATCTTCAATCTCATCTCTATAGCTGTTGCCGACAATGCCACAATCATAGGAAACTTCAATGCTTGATAGCCCAACAACAGATGCCTGCCCATATCACGGAGAAGATCGCCCAACTTCAAGCTCTTAGAAAACTTAGCCTACACGACAACGTTATCACAGACATGATTCCTACCTCTCTTGGGTTCCTCCCCAATCTGAGAGGTGTTTATCTCTTCAACAACCGACTTTCAGGTTCAATTCCTCCTTCAATCGCTGTCGATTGCCCCAGACTCTTGACGGTAGAACAGTAAAAAACGCATGCTAACAACAAAATTATATGAATGGTGCAGATGCCATCGATTCCTGTCCATTCCTCCAGACTCGAAGGAATGCCTGTCCATTCCTACGTTCTGGGCTAATTCTGCGATGGAATCACCTTGAAGCTCTGAAGATCATACCTATGGCTGCAGTTTCTGGTTTAGATCAAACTATTACTTGGTAATTCATAAGAATCTATCCTCTGTCGGGTTTATCCGATTATTCCACTCAACTAGAATGTTTCTTTCAATCTCTATCGCTTCTCCAGTGGTTTATGGTAATTGCAAGCTTGTTCAGACCGTGCATCTAGAACTCCTTCCCTTTTTCGCTTTCCTCTAATCTGTGTTTGATTACAGTAAAAATTTGTGCTTATATAAATGCATGGAAGTGCAAATGGGCGGTGTGTAAATTCTGGTTTAGTTATTCCCTTTTTACTTTTTTGGATGGAGCTTCTGATTAGGAATTGACAGGAACGAGAAATGACTGGATTCCCAACTCTGGCACGCCTGCACCGGAGGAGTGGTGCAGATGCCATCGGTCAACTCCATCATTTCAGTTTTCACCAACAGCTTCGCTGCCGTTCCATATGGCTCCTCTTCGCTTACAACAACATTATCCACCTATTCAAATCATTCACCTGCAAGGACCGGAAAGTAGAGGAAATTGTGAAGAAGAAAGGGGAGGAGAGAAAGGGGAAGGGGAAGAAGAGAGAGAGGGAAGACTTCGGAAGTCCGCTGCTGCTGCAACAGCTATCACCCCTGTTGTTCGTGTATCTTGAGGCTAGGGAAGATGAACACTATTTTTTTCATGAAAGATTAATGGAAGAGGGTGTCTTTGTTGCAAAAAAAAGTATGGGGGGCCTTTATAATTTACAGTGTTTGAAATGATTAGGACCTATAGTTTATAAAGAATTAGACTTATAATAGATCTTTTATACGCTGGGTGGCAAATAATAGAGAGAAGATAAAGAAATAAATGTATGATATAATTTAGTATTTCCAATTAGTATTAAGTGAATTGATTATCTTAAAAGAATTAAATGATAATACGTAATGATGGCTATGCAACTGTCATGCATCTAAACAAATTAATGTATGATATAATTATAAATATATATAAAGTCAGGTTTGAATTGGGTCAGATTGCTGAAGGGGTCAACCTAATCTTACCCGAAATAAAGTCAGGTTCATAAATTTCAACTCTAATCCTAACCTTTTTCGAATTTGATTTGAACCCCGCCCAATTTGCAGCCTTATTATGAGCCAAGACAAAATGGATTTTCTTACTTCTGAGTTCGAGATTTCCTGACTTCTGAGTTCGAGCGGCTTTCTTCTAAACAACCATGGTGGCAGGGTTGCACTCCCAGCCCCACTTTTTTGGCCCAATAAGTTCTTTCCAAGTGGCACTCAACCTTTTCCCTGTTTTTTCAGTGGACCTGCTCTGTCGGAAAAATGTTTGGATAAACCGTGTCATAACTGTAAGTGGCATATATGGTCTGGATTTGCCACTTCTGAAGCACAAAAACCGTCCAGACAAGTTATATGGACGACGACAACCCATAGTAAATCCCTTGAATTGCAATTCTCTGCTATTCAAAACATTCTGGAGAAGGTTTGTCATGATAATACTCTCTCTCTCTCTCTCTTTGAGCAAAGATAAGACAAAACTTCATACCCATATCAATTATAGGAGAGAGAGAGAGAGAGAGAGACGTTTCGTATTTTGAAAAATTTCATTTATTTTTTTCATTTTTCTTGGATGGGCTTGATGATTAACCAATGCTCTCGAACACACGAACAGTATGTGGTTGAGAGAAGACCCATTGGCATGAAAGGATGCGGTATCAAATGCACACCTCGAAAAACTGATCCACAAAACTGTAAATTCCTCTCAATAATCCCAACCGATTTGTCTTCACGTGTCCTTTTCCTTTAGCTCCCCCACCTTAGTTGTTTGTATTGTTCTAATTCCTCTCTTCAATATTATCTGCTCTTGTTTGCTTCATGCACACTTCTGCTTAGTCGACGAAGTCAAGGTTTGCTCTTCTTCTTCCTACTGTTTACATTTAGTTTATATTTCAGGTTGTTTATGTGGTAGGATTTGAATGATCAAAAGCTTTTGATTTCAGGCTTTCTGCTTATGTTTTTATTTTCTTTTTCTGTGCATATGAAAATTGTGAAAATTTGATCATTGTTTATTGCTTGGGTCTATGTTTTCTTGTATGTAAAAGAGTCTTGGTTTTTTTTTTCCAATCCAAGTTGTATTATTCTGCGATTGGGTTTTACCTCGATTTGATTACAGACAACCCAGTTGAATTTTTTCTCTAATGGGGTTTATCTGGGATTAAGCTCATCACTTACTGTTAGAGAAATGGGATTAACTGGAATTTGAATCAGACTGTTTTTCTCCTCTGGGGCTATCTGAAATTGATTGGTGTCTGTCTAAATGTGGTGTTTTTATGTTTCTAAGTTACTAGAACTTTTCCTGGAATCCAATCATGACCCTTTAACTGAGATCATGAATCCGAGCATACTTTGAATCTTATATAACTTTATCTAGGATTCTCCTTTTCAGTGTTTCAAGTGAATTCTTTTCTAATGTGATCCGAGATACAGGATTCCTATTTCCTTGCGGGAATGTGTAGATTTTCAGTAAACAATTGTATGTGGCTTTATCTGCGGTTTCTGTGAGCTTTAGCAGAAATTGATCCCAGAATGTGCTTTCTTTTTCTACAAGCTGCTTTTGCAAGAACCTAAGTTTAACCTGAGATCCATCATCTCTAATACCCACCTAGTAGATTAGTTCAGATCGATACAAGGTTGTGTGTTCCTGTTTGTATTATTTATGAGATTTATCTGAATTTGGTCTGCTTGTGTTGTTCTCTATATAGGTTTTATCAGTCTGATGTTATTCTTGTTGTATATGATACATTCCTTTGAACTTTCCTTAAATTTTAATTTTTATATTTGTGTGGACTGTGCATGTTGTTAATTCTCTCTCTCTCTCTCTCTCTCTCTCTCTCTCTCTCTTATTTGTTGTTACCTCCATTTCTTTTATTACCTGGACATTGATCCTGAATGTATACTTCTCTTATTTTTTCTGTTTATTGCATTTACAAATTCTTGCCTGCTCCATCTCTGTAAATTGGCTCAACAACTATTCTGTCCAAGATAGTAAATCAGAATTTGGTTTCAATCATTTTTCCTCAGTCTGTGCAAAGGTTGATCACTATGTCTAGGCTCTTGTTTCATGTGAGTATGTGTGGATCTGATTTAATTGAATTATATTGATTTTAGGTTATTGAAGAGCGAAGTTTTTTTTTTTTTTTTTCATTTGAGAAGATGGAGATAACCAACGTTATGGAGTATGAGGCCATTGCAAAGGAAAAACTTCCAAAGATGGTATATGACTACTATGCATCAGGTGCAGAGGACCAATGGACTCTTAAGGAGAACAGACATGCATTCTCAAGGATCCTGTAAGTGTTCATTATTTCTTTATGATCACCAAGAACCCAACTTTGGTAATAGGTAATGCTCTAAATTCGATTTCTCAATATTGGGAAAACTCCCGTGTTGGCATGTATTTTTTTATATGTCAGGTGCCTGTTGAGGAGAGAGGGGTTCTGGTTTTCTTTTCGTTTTGATGATTTGTGTGCATTTTTATTCTAACACTCAGTTCCATTCTTTACCATTTTTCTTTAAGTCTAGTTTCTATTCTCCGAATTATATTTTCCTTTAACAAAACATGCAGTAGAGTTCATGTGGGTGATTACTACTGATATCCTTGTTTGATTGCATAAATAGGTTTCGACCTCGTATTCTTATTGATGTAAGCAAGATAGACATGAGTACCACTGTCTTGGGCTACAAGATATTGATGCCTATCATGATTGCTCCCACTGCTATGCAAAAAATGGCTCACCCTGAGGGTAAACCAAACTTGAAACTGAGCTATGTACTTAAGAGATACTGTTTTAGGGTTTGGTTGATTTATACAATTGATTCTACTAGGCTTTGGTTATCTCAATTAGATACATATATTTGAAGTGCTTGTTTGGGTTTTCAAACAGTAGTTTTGAACTAAAACTTGGTGAAAAAAATCCATATTACATTTTGGGTGATGCAAGTTGATCCCCAACTCAGTTGACAACTTCAAATTAAGTTTTTGAAGTGAAATATTTTCAACATTTTCTTGAACCATAACACGGAATTTGAAAAATGTTGTTTATCTTTTCTATGTTTTAAAGAAATTTGGTCACTCAAGTATGCCCTAATCAAACTCTTGGTATTGAATCAATATGTAGAACTTTTCCTTGTACCAAGTTCCAAGGGATATTTTCAATTATAACTTCCACCACAATTAACAAATTTCTAATGTCTGAATTGAATCTAGAATCTTTTTTTTTTGTAGTTCAGTTGAATCTTGTGATACTTGATGAAGATATTTGCTTGTTTGGATGTGTTTCTGAACCCTGAGTATCTAGTATGGATAATATTTTTTAAGGCTTTTAGGAAGTTGAAAAACCCTGACTGGCATTGAAAAGGGATTCATTTAATTAATTGAATATTGTTAACCCTATCTTTTGACCAAGAAGGAATCAAAACATGTCTGAACCCAGGTTTAATTCTTATGCAGGAGAGTATGCAACAGCAAGAGCAGCATCAGCAGCTGGCACTATTATGGTTTGGTTCCTCACCTTTCATGTTTTACAAATTTTTAAAGCTAACCAACAACTATCAGCCCACAAATTTCAAAGTCAACATGTATTTCAATATTGTCAATTTTTTTTTTAAAGGGCCTTCATACATTATTGGTCCCAGCAATCTGGAGTCCTGGGAGGGGTAGACTGGATAACTGGATATGGACCTAACCTTTCGTTTATATCAGCACTGTCAATTTAAGCCAGAAAAAAAAGAGCAAATAGTTTCTAAGAGATTCAGGTCAAGGGTATTCCACATCTATTGGAAGTTCTATATATTTGATACATCACTTATAAGATCCCAAAGACGGGCTAATTTCTTTTTGGTTAGTGATGATCACCAAAGAGAATGTTAACAAAATAATGAATCAAACAACTTTTGTCCATAAAACATTTTTATTTAGGCCATGTTTGGTTCAGTTTTCATTCTTACCCAAGATGAAATTTTAAAATGGACAAGAATGGACAAAAATAGGTAGAATGAGAAAATATTGCTATGAACCAAGCACTTTTTTCCTAAAAATGAATTCTTTTCAGACTAACAAGTGTCCTATGTTGTTTGTTTTCATTCTTCAAAAAAAAAAAAAAAAGTGCCGGTATTCATAAACCGCCAGTCTCGGTCTCCAACAGTCAATGTTTACCAATTGGCATAGATGTTTTGTAAAAGCACTTTCACAAAATTGCTTTTATAAAAGTACTTTCGTATAAGTGCTTTCATAAAGTACTTCCGTAAAAGTGATTTTAGAAAAGCAATTTCATAAAAGTACTTCCATAAAGTGATTTTATACAAGTACTTCTATAAAAGTGTTTTTATAAAAGTGCTTTGATAAAAGTGCTTTCGCAAAAGTATTTTTATTAAAGTGCTTTCATAAAAGTATTTTTATAAAAGCGCTTTTTAAGTGCTTTCATAAAAGTGCTTTAATGTAAAAGTACTTTCATAAAAGTGTTTTAATGTGAGTTTTTTATAAAAGTGCTTTTGTAAAAGTACCTTTTTTACAAGTGCTTTCATAAATGTACTTTTATAAAAGTGATTTTGTGTAAAAGTACTTTCATAAAAGTGATTTCGTTAAAAATACTTTTGTAAAAGTGTTTTTGCAAAAGTAAACATCTATGGCAACAGTTTTGTAGGCATAGTTTCTTCAAAGAATGACAATGAGCAAGATGGGGCATGATTATTTTTCATGCTGCAGGCTGCTCAATTTTTGTGCTACGGGGCTGATTTTTCATTCTATAAAGATGTGGCCCATGGAAAAAATTTTGTAACCAAACACTCTAATGTTATTCATTCTTGCCCATTCTTGCCTAAAATGAGCAAGAATTAAAAGAATGAGGCCCAGAGCAGTGAACCGAACATGGCCTTAGTTTACAACTGATCTTTTAAACTTCAAATACTTGTAGAAATTCATCCTGAAATATAAAGTTTGCAGCATCTCTATGCAAACATGTTTGTGTTCTGATTTTCAAGGATACATTTTCAAATTGGTATTCAGTACAAACATTTTTTCCATTCATTTTGTGTTGCCTCATGGTTGCTACTTGACTGATGCATGTTTTTCACTCTATGCATTACCTGTTATCCAGACATTATCATCATGGGCTACTTCTAGTGTTGAAGAGGTTGCTTCAACAGGACCTGGCATTCGCTTTTTCCAGCTCTATGTAAGCTTCAATGATCCTTCTGTTGTCTATTTTTTAGTGATCTTCTTGTTGAGGTGTGCATTTCATTTTGTATTCTCCATCAGGTAAATGATTGTCCTGCCACTTGTTCAGGTGTACAAAGACAGAAATGTAGTTGCACAGCTTGTGAGAAGAGCAGAAAGGGCTGGCTTTAAGGCAATTGCCCTCACTGTTGATACTCCAAGACTGGGACGCAGGGAAGCTGACATCAAGAACAGGTGAGCCTAAAATTTGTTTATGCATAAAAGTTTCTTTGAGAATCAGGATGAACCATTTGCTGTTTTTAATGAGTAAACTTAGTTCTGCTATTTATTAAGAATCTACTTTCTTTTTCATTGGCCACTCAACAGATTTACTTTACCTCCATTCTTGACATTGAAGAATTTTGAGGGATTGGACCTTGGAAAGATGGATATGGTGAGTCTAAAACATACTGATGACTGATTAATTTATATCTATTGTTTACATGTCTTTCACTACATGGTTTCTTTTCTGGGGCCAAACACAGACAAATGATTCTGGACTTGCCTCATATGTTGCTGGACAAATTGATCGATCCCTAAGCTGGAAGGTATGTTTGGTGGAACTCAGTGATTCAGGTTCTTCAGATGGCAGAACATATTTTTTGTAGATCAATAAAGATGGATATTTGGTTCTTACTGTTACTCGAATTCTAAAGAATGTGTGGTTCTGAAACATAGGGGTGCCATGGGGTATTTTTTGAAACTGAACTGGTACTACCGGTTTTTGAAAATCCCTGAACCGAAACTGAACTGAATCAACCAGTTGATCGGTTTCGGTTTTTGACCAGTCCGGTTCTTCAGTTTCTCAGTTTTTTATATTTATAATATATATTTTATAAATAATTGTATAAATATTTAATATATAATATTGTATATATTATATATTATAAAATAGAATATATTTATATATAATATTATGATATATATTAAAAATTTATATATAGTACATATATATATATATATATATATATATATATATATATATATATANTATATATATATATATATATATATATATATATATATATATATATATATACCGGTCGGTTCAGTTAACCATTGGTTTTTTAGGTTAACTGAAAACCGAACTGGTCCTTCAGTTTTTCAAAAATACTGAACCCAATCAGTTCGGAATGCTTTTTCGGTTTTCAGTTTTTATGAGCACCCCTACTGAAACATTACTGATGGATTTGGACAGGATGTGAAGTGGCTCCAGACAATCACCAACTTGCCAATTCTAGTGAAGGGTGTAATCACTGCTGAGGATAGTAAGTAATAAAATTTAAATTACTGCCTACTTCTCTAATTTTAGATGTCTAGCTGTGTACTCTCCAACAATGTTCTATATGTAACCCCCTATATTGACCATGCAGCAAGGCTAGCCATACAAGCAGGAGCAGCAGGAATCATTGTGTCAAATCATGGAGCTCGTCAACTTGATTATGTCCCTGCCACTATCATGGCTCTAGAAGAGGTACATTGCCTTAATGCTACCTTATATTTATTCAGATCATATCATATGGTATGTTAACAATAATTGGTTTTGTTGGATTAACTTTAGGTTGTCAAAGCTGCACAAGGCCGAGTTCCTGTTTTCCTGGATGGTGGTGTCCGGCGTGGGACTGATGTCTTTAAAGCATTGGCCCTTGGAGCCTCTGGCATATTTGTAAGTATATCTACATCATCATGTTGGCAAACCCCTTTATACTCTTTTTCGTTACCAATTTAACTATTTGTTCCTTGTCTCAATTTCAGATTGGAAGGCCTGTGGTATTCTCTTTGGCTGCTGAAGGTGAGGCTGGTGTAAGAAAGGTACTCCAGATGCTCCGTGATGAGTTTGAGCTAACTATGGCATTAAGTGGATGTCGCTCACTCAAGGAGATCACTCGTGATCACATTGTTACTGACTGGGACCAACCTCATCCTCTCCCTCCTCTCCCTTCAGCCAGGCTATAAACAGGCTTGAATTTCACCAACAGACAATCATACAAAAGAGTAGGTTAATAAGGTTAATCTATTTATGAGCCTGTTGTCATTGGAAGAGCTTTTTTTTTCTGATTTTTTGAGCCCAGAAATAGTTAAGAGAACTTAAGCTTTTGTGATGATTAATGGCACTTCATGAGAATGGCCTTTCTTTGTATATTCTTTCTTTAGACCAGGTTCTTGTTTAAAATGTTATACTTTCAACAGTTAAAAGAATACTGGTTCTACTTAGAAAATATAGAAGTGTGAGCTGGTAGTTGATACCTGAATTACAATAGCACCACCCAGAGAAAAGCTGAAAATAATCTAAAAATTAACATCTTTCATAAGTGGAAACCTTACAAAAGGAAGCCAGAATTAGAAATGTAGAGCTCTTTCTGTATGCACTGTGAAGTTCTCATTCTCAATAAGGGAGTGTGTATTTATCAAACGAACTGTGATAATAATGTCTGGGTAGACTAACATTATAGCAAGTCTTGATGATCTGTGCAATTATGTTTCGTTATTCCCAAACTTGGAGAGAAAATACCCAATAGTCAGTCAGTCTTAAGAGCTTTGAGCTCACATAAACTGTAGTTTGGGGAAAACTATTGGATTTTCTTGCATTTTTCACTAATGCATTGGTCATGATACCCTGTAGCCATTGGACCATGAAACTACCAAGTTCAGCTTGAGTTGGCATTAGAAGGGGTAATGTGTCACGGTCTGACACTGGCTTAGCCTTGCCTACGCTTGGCAGGCTTACGTTAAGGGACATCACCGTCATTTTCGCCTGTAAGATTTTTAGGAGAATTGATGCTATCTTTAGGCAGACCTCCAAAAGCTTAACGTACTCTTTGAGGAGGGGTGGTCGACCTCCTTGGGTGCCTAACCTTGGCACTCCTAGACCTTCATCCCTTGTGGGGCGGCCCTGGTTAATGGCTAGCATGGCTACCAGGGTTCCTCATGGGTGCACACATGCTCATGGGGATAGTGCATGGACCGGCATTGCACCACCGACACTCAAGGGAGGCTTGGCATGCGGGCCTGGCTCAAGTATGACCCTTCACCACACCAACTCCTTGCCCAAGCTGAATGAGCTATCCCGTTGCCCATAGTGCACGGGTGTGTTCCGGCCCAGCGGTTGCATATCATCATCGGCATACAGGAGACCCTTCACATCGGCACCAAGTCGCCTCTCATCATGACCATCCCCCTTTAGCACGTAAGTGGCGCCTCCCATGGACCGGCAAGAACCAGCCGAGTGCCCCGGCCATGAGCCTTAAGGTCATGATCCAACACTATTGACCATGGTGGAGCCATCTCATCGGGCAACTCCTAGCCTCCAAGCACACTTAAGGCTTGTCCTGGCCTGCCTTGGCCAAGACACCGCACGGGTTTCTTCTGCTGCAGAACTACCCCCGTGACAGTTGGTATCAGAGCGAGCTAGTCAATTGTTGCCACAGTTGTCAAAGCAGATTAGCACAGAGCCAATTGAAGCGGTCATCTCGACAAGTAGCACATCATGGGGTGCGGTCCCTAGGAACTTCCACTCGGGTTCAAGCAAGAATTCATATCAGGCCTGGTAAGAGGCATTCATCGTGTCCCCATTCCAATGACCCTAAAACAGCGCCCTGGGGGCAGACGCATGAGCCATTACATGGAAGGCATATTGTGGTGGTTTGAGTGGGGGAGTGCCATGCTTCCTCACAGACATCAGTTGCTATTCATTTTAGTGAGTTATGGGCGGTGTGTCTACATCTTGGTTTCATGATGGATGAACCATTGTTCCGTAGCTTTGTTTGAGGCACTACTAAGGCGGGGACAACAGTTCGAAATTGGTTGGTGTCGATGGTTGGTCAAGGAATATCACTGAATTGTCAGTTTTGCACAAAAATGGGTCATCAGTTGAAGCCACAATATTGGAATGATAGGAATGTGGGTACACTGGCCGTTGGAGCATGGCGGCCCTGCATCGGAAAGGTATCAGGAGGACATGCTCAGCTCAATAGGCGGAACACTTGCAGCAGCAACAACTCATCACAAGGCGAGTGCATGTTCGGCAACATCATGGGTAAAAGTTGCCACACTCGCGCACATTGTGGTCAGATCTCCTTGAGGCAGTAACACATTGGGGCCCCCTCGGAGCGAAGATGTAGCCCAAACCGACGAGGTGAAGTGTAGTTTCGAGGGCCAACAGAGCATAAGCCATGACTAGGTTTGAGTAACCTGCACATGGCGAGGTGAAGACCGCAAGCCAGCATGGTGAAAGGGTACACTCACGACACATAGCCAACAGCAGGAGTAGACCTATCACATCGTGTTCGGTAGCACCACCAAAAGCTACCAAGAAGAGGGTCGAAGCCTTGAGGTAAAGATGATACATGGGGCGGACCTCCGCGAAGCACCACACAATTTCTTCGAGGGCCCTTCTCACACATTTCAACGGCATAGACATTGCGTGGTTTGAGTAACATCAATATAGGGGGTGAAGTCCAGGCAGGCTGGCATGGTGAAATGGTTCCGTCCCCATAAATGGACACCAACATAGGCGAGACCCGGGTTGGCCAAGCGAGCCCAGGACTGGCAGTCAAGTGGATGGTGCGGGACATAGATGCCCATTCACAAGAAGAGCCATTGTCGAGGACGACAATGGATTGAGTGGGGGAGCCTGTCACGGTCTGACACAGTCTTAGCCTTGCCTACGCTTGACAGGCTTACATTAAGGGACATCGCCATCATTTTCGTCTGTAAGATTTTTGGGAGAATTGATGTTATCTTCAGGCAGACCTCCAAAAGCTTAATGTACTCTTTGAGGAGGGGTGGTCGACCTCCTTGGGTGCCTAACCTTGGCACTCCTAGACCTTCATCCCTTGCGGGGCGGCCCTGGTTAATGGCTAGCATGGCTACCGGGGTTCCTCATGGGCGCACACATGCTCATGGGAACAGTGCATGGACCGGCACTGCGCCACCAACACTCAAGGGAGGCTTGGCATGCAGACCTGGCTCAAGTATGACCCTTCACCACACCAGCCCCTTGCCCAAGCTGAATGAAATATCCCATTGCCCATAGCGCACGGGTGTGTTCCGGCCCAGCGGTTGCATATCATCATCGGCATACAGGAGACCCTTCACATCGGCGCCAAGTCGCCTCTCATCATGGCCATCCCCCTTTAGCACGTAAGTGGCGCCTCCCATGGACCGACAGGAGCCAACCGAGTGCCCCGGCCATGAGCCTTGAGGTCATGATCCAGTGCTATTGACCTTGGTGGAGCCATCTCATCTGGCAACTCCTAGCCTCCAAGCACACTTAAGGCTTGTCCTGGCCTGCCTTGGCCTAGACGCCGCACGGGTTTCTTCCGCTGCAGAACTGCCCCCATGACAAGTGGGCAATAGTAGTTCTTAAAACATGCAATGCAAAATGCAAATTAAGGTATCTTCGATTGTGTGAGCACTGCACACTAGTTTGGAATGAAAAGTAGAGTCACCATCCAGTATGAATATAATGGGTTCCATTTAAAAAACTTAAATTTTTATGCATTTCTTGAATTGATATGGATTTCTCTAGTCCGGGTTGTTTTTAACCCGGATAAGCAATTGGGGACTCAACAGAGGGGGGAAGCAATAGAGAACAAATCTGATTCCACTGTAAGAGATTGGGATGAAAACGTTGAGAGGAAGGTGATGAAATCAGGAAGCATCTCCTTGGAGAAAGCAGCTAAAGAAGATGTAGAGATTGGCAAAAGCTTGGGTCTATTTTTCTGGGGTGGCAAGGATTGCTAGGAAACCCTTCAAAGAGTTCGAGAGGAAGAAGAGAGAAGAAACTCTGAAGAAAAAGGAAAATGGAGGTGGGAGGTGAAATGAAGATGTCAACGGTCAGGAGGTGTTTGAAGGGGAAGATTAGGGCCCTGGTTCCACTAGGTTTGCTGATATTCGTAGCGTAGTCTTATCAGTTGTGAAGCTGTTTGGTTTCTTGATCCTAGAGGTGTTATAATTCCTTTTTGCTTTTAGGGAAATTGTCTAAAACTCACCATGAGTTTTCAGCATTTCTCTTAAACTCACAACTTTTCAAAATGTCTAAAACTCACCATGGTAGTAAGTTTTTATTTTCCAAAACTTACCTTTTGTTAGTGCACCATTAATGCTTCTTAACAGAGGTATCCACATCAGCATAAATAACAATTCTCATGACCAAATTACCCTTGGATGGCGAGTTAGAGGAAAAAGGGTCTTTTTCAGTTTTCAATTTTCATGTCTTTTTGCATTTTTAGTGTTTTGTTATAATTTCCAATGTTTTTTTTCTAATTTTTGTTTTTTTACAATTTTCTATTTTCTAAAATCTATAAATTTTCCTATATTTTTTGTTATTTATTTTCAATTTTTGTGTTTTTTCTACAATTTTATTTTTTGATTTTGATTTTCAATTTCTATAGTTTCTCTAATTTGAAAATAATTTTTTATTCTGTTTGCACTTTCTATAATTTTTTATATTTTTTGAAATTTCTGTGTTTTTATGTATTTTATATTTGAATTTTTTTTGAATTTTTCCTATTTTTCATGTGTAATTATTAAAACATATGTATATATTTTGTATTTTTCTATGAATGTGAAAATGGTAATATATTAACACCTGTTAGTTTGTTTAGCGTCAAGTTAGGGACATGGTGAGTTTTAGACATTTTGAAAAGTTGTGGTGAGTTTAAGAGAAATGCTGAAAACTCAGGGTGAGTTTTAGACAATTTCCCCTGTTTTCAAGTCTTATAGTTGGTGGAAGTTTTAAGTCGGTAGTCATGTTATCTCTCGGATGATAGCTTATCACCTTCCTTATGTATTCTTCTTTTTATTTTAATGAATTCTTATTTCACTTTATAAAAAAATATTATCTATGTTGTATCCAAGAATTTCTAGAATTGATATGATCCATTTATCACCTTCATTTTTTTTTCTTTCTGTTTAATTTATTTTGTTGCTATGTTCATTTGTTCTCTGTTGAGTTTCTCTTTTCATTCTATTCGTTGCCCTCTGTTTAATTTCTTTTTGTTTCTCTCTTCGTTCTGTTCGTTTTCCCTCTGTTCATTCTGTCCGCTTTGTTCTCTATTTGTTCTCCTTTTAGTTCTCCCCTATTCCCTTCTGTTCTCCCCAAGTTCCCATCTGTCAGTCTGTTTGATCTTTCTGCGGGCGTTTTGATTGGGAGTTTCTTCTCTAGAATCCTTTCTGCATTAACCACCAGTGGAAGCTGCCACTTGCATTGCCGTTCCTAGCGTTTTGGAAGGTAGCTTTAGTTCTCCGGCGTCTAGGACGGCAATAACAGTTCTTCCGGTATGCTGGTTGACAGTTATAGTTTTGCCTTCTTGGCGGATTGGTTTGGAGTGGGCGGAAGTTACAGATCTTGGCTTATGGCTTTGGAAGCCTGCCTTGTCAGTTATGCTCGCCATGTTATGGTGGTTTGGAGATGTACTTATCCACTTCTGTTGGTGATTTAAGTCACCTTGCTTCAATAGCAGGTTGCAAAAGTTCTTTTGATTCTCCTTCATCCATCTTTTTATTTTGTTCTTCTTGAGATTTGTCTTTGCACTTTAATTGACCTTGTTGGCATCTCTTTGTATCAATCTCTTGAATGAATGAAATATTTTAAGATTTAAAAAAAAAAGAAGTCTCTTCTCCACATTGTAGCATTCTTAAGCGCATGGGCCCTATCTATAAGGCGTATCAATTGACCCAATTTGGTCTTTGTTAGTCATTGTTGGTCCACTTTCAAATTGGTCTATTTGTGACCCAGTTTCGATGTCAACAATATAGGCATTTTAATTGATCCATTGAGGTCAATTGGTGTTCTGTTTTGGCCCATAGATTTTCCCTTTTTAGTTACCAACTTATGAACCACTTAAGATATGCTGCCAACAAATTGTTGCCAGATGTATTGGGATTTGGTAACATCTCCCATGAATAACAAGGGAGATATTGTCAATGTGCAGCAGTAATGTCCTGTGGGTACGGATGTAGGAACAGCTTGTGAATAGCAGATCGAACTCCCTCTCTCTCTTAAAGCAAGAGGATAAAAAGAATGCAATATTGTAGCCTTAAATTTGGGGAAAAAGATGAAAGTTAGGAGTCAAAATTTGTGGCAGAGATTTGCTTTCAATGAACTGGTTTCCAATTGTTGAACGTGGTTTAAGGTCTACTAATCACAAATAAGTTGATTCTTCTTTAGATGAAAAACAAAAGTGGTCGAATTCTGAAGGTTTAAAAACAAATGGGTTCTGTGAAGTGTGAATTTTTTTAAATTCTTAAGGCTCTGTGTTAGGTCCCAGTCAAAGCTAGAGCTGAAAAAAAGTATTCTGCTTAGGGTGAAAATAAACCACCAGATTTTATTGAACTTTCAACTGCCCTTCCATGCTGGTTGGGTGGTGTTTACATACAAGAAAATTCTCAACTTCCTTCCACTAACATAGCCACCGATTAAGGGATTAGCTTCTCTACCTATTCTTAAGTAATAACTGCTTAACCAAATTGACTGCTTCCTAAGGGGCCAACACCTTGGCTTTATTGACCTATTCCTACGTACCGATAACAAGGAAATAGAACAGAAATAGACTAACAAGAAAATGAAGCAGAAAAGGAAGGAAATCCGCTACGCTTTTCCAGATGCCACGTCACGCCTTGCATGGGCCATGCATGGTACGTTAATCGACGTATTTGGGATTCTTCATAGGTGTTCTCAGCGACCTTCGTGGCTTATCAATACCCCCCCTTTGGCTAGAACCTTGTCCTCAAGGTTCATGAATCTGTCCTTTATTTCTTGCGTGTTTTCCCATGTAGTGTCCTCTAGTGGAAGTTGTCTCCATTTGGTCAAGCTTTCCTCTATAATTTTAGACCCCTTTTTGATCCAACGGGTGTCCAGTATTTCCTCTAGTTCAATAGTCAAGTCACCATCGGTTAGTGGAGGTATTTCGTTACTAGCAACAATTGTGTTTCCCCATTTTTTCTTGAGAAGGGACACATGGAATACTAGTTGAATGCGTGAACCTTAAGGAAGCTTCAGTTTGTAGGCCATCTTCCCAAGTTTTTCTTCAATTTGATATGGTCCATAGAACTTACATGCAAGCTTTTGATAGGCACATTTAAACATAGAGTGTTGACGATAAGGATGAAGTTTCAAAAACACAAAATCGTCCACTTGATATTCAACGTCCCGTCATTTGGAATCTGCGAGTTGCTTCATCCGATTGTTTGCTGCATGCAAATTCTCCTTAAGCTGTCATAACAAGGCATCCCGAGATGCTAAGCTACGGTCCACTTCATTTACCGGACAAGAACCTTCATCGTAATGTGGGATTGTCGGTGGAGGCCTTCTATATAGAGCTTGGAAGGGGGTCATTCYGGTAGATGCATGATAGGTAGTATTGTACTAGAATTCAGCCCATGGGAGGAAGGAKTGCCATTTACGGGGCTGCTGGTACGCAAAGCACCAGAGATATTGATCAAGACAACGATTGACCACCTCCGTTGTCCATCCGCCTATGGGTGGTATGCGGAGCTCATCTTCAATTGTTTGCCTGATAATTTGAAGAACTTTTGCCAAAAATGACTGATGAATACCAGGTCTCGATCGCTTATGATGGATCGCAGCATACCATGAAGTTTCACAACTCCTTCAGTGAATTTTTCGGCCACCAATTTTGTTGTATACGGGTGGGTGAGAGCCAAAAAGTGTGCTGATTTGCTCAGCCTATCAACCATAATAAGAATTGAATTCTTACCATTTGAAGGTGAGAGGCCATCGATGAAGTCTATAGTGACATCATCCCATACTTGACAAGGGATTGGAAGTGGTTGTAGGAGTCCGGCAGGTGATAAGGTCTCATTTTTAGTGCGTTGGCACACTTCACAAGAAGCAACATAATTCTTCACCGCTTGGTGCATTGATGGCTAATAAAATTGTTGCGCTAGTCTCTTGTATGTCCGTAGTACATCTGAATGTCCACCCATTGGAGAGTCATGGTATTGTCGCAAGAGTTGTTGGGTGATGTGGGAATGAGGAGGCACCACTACTCGTTTTTTGTAGCAAACTAACCCGTTGCATCAGCTGTAAGGAACGCCCAGGTTTTCGGTTGCTTGTTGGCTAATTCTTTTCATGTAAGGGTTGTCACTAGCTTCGGCTTTGATTGTATCCCATAATGGAGTTTGAGACACAAACAAGGCATCCAGACTAGGACTGCCAGCCACCCGTGATAGTGCATCAGCTGCATTGTTCTCCTGGCCTGGCCTGTATTGGATCTCATAATCATAGCCAAGCAGTTTAGTTACCCATTTTTGTTGCTCGGGTGTGGCTACTCGTTGCTCCAACAAGTATTCGAGACTGCGCTGATCTGTTTGGATGTAGAATTTCTGGCCCAGCAAATATGGTCTCCATGTTTGAATGGCGTGAATGATTGCTAGCATTTCTTTTGCATAAACCGACCATGAGCATTTGGTGGCGCCCAAGGCGCAACTCATGAACGCAATAGGCCTTCCTTGTTGTGACGGAACTGCCCCTATGCCGTCCCTCGAAGCATCTGACTCAATGATAAATGGCTCATTTAAGTTTGGCATTGCGAGTGTTGGGGTAGTGGTCATTGCTTTCTTGAGTTCCTAGAAAGCATTTTCTGCCTCATCTAGCCACCCGAACTGCCCCTTTTTAGGAGATTGGTGAGAGGGCGTGCTATGATGCCATAGTTACAGACAAATTTCCAGTAATAACCTGTAAGTCCTAGGAACCCACGCAATTCAGAGATATTAGTAGGCTTAGGCCTATTCAGCATAGTTTGGATTTTGCCTTGATCCACCTTAACCCCTTTTGGAGTTACAATATGGCCTAAGTATTCAAATTCTTGTACCCCGAAGGCACATTTGCTGAATTTGACAAAAATTGATGCTGCCTTAGTATTTCCAAAGCCTTTTGAACATGTTCAAGGTGCATGTTCCAGTTGGGGCTATAGGTCAAAATGTCATAAAAGAAAACAAGCATAAATTTACGGAGGTACGAGCGAAATATTGAATTCATGATTGCTTGAAAGGTAGATGGAGCATTACAAAGACCAAAGGGCATAACTAAGTATTCATAGTGACCATTATGAGTGCGAAAAGCAGTTTTATGAATGTCTAGGGGATGCACTTGAACCTGGTGGTATCCTGCCCGTAAGTCCAGTTTAGTGAAATAAGTAGCTCCATGGAGCTCATCAAGCATGTCATCTACTGTGGGAATTGGAAATCTATCTTTGATGGTTACGACATTAAGAGCTCTATAATCAGTGCAAAAATGCCATGAACCATCCTTCTTTTTAACCAACAAAACAGGAGATGAGAAAGGACTAGTGCTAGATCTTATAAGCCCTAACTTTAACATATCATGAACTTGCTTTTCAATTTCGGCTTTTTGGAAATGGGCATACCTGTATGGTCTCACATTGACGGGCTCGGTTCCTTCCTTTAGATTGATATGATGGTCGATTTCCCGTGTGGGCAGGAGGTGCGTCGGTTCTTGGAACACATCTTCGAATTTCTCCAGTAGTTGTTGCATCTCCGGGTTGACATCCTGTGATGTTGGCTCGGCTGCGGCTTGAAGGAAAATAGAAAACATTGAACTCCCTTTCCGTATGTCTTTGGAGATAGCTTTGACTGATGCGGTTTGAATTGATTACGCATCGATCCCTTGTAGTTTCTGAGTTTGGTTGCTCCATTGGAACTCCATCGTTAGTTGCTTCCAGTTGCACACTATCGTTCCCAGTTGTTCCAACCAATGGACACCTAAGACCAAATCCAGTCCCATTAGCGGTAAAGCGTATAAAGTGAGGATAAAAGGGATACCTTGAAGGAGAACTTGGACATTTTCGAATCTGCCTTGGCATTTCAACGACCTCCTACTTGCCACCTTGACATTGAACGGTTCGGTTGGTACTACGGGCAGCCGTAGCATATTGGCTACTCTTTCACTAATGAAGTTATGAGTAGAGCCACTATCAATTAATACAACCACCTCATAGGGTCCAATTTTTGCCATTACCTGCATTGTTTTATAGGCTGTCCATCCTGAGAGTGCATGGAGTGATATCTCGGGTTGTGGTTCCATTAGGCCGTCAGTTTCCTCCTCCTCTGAATAGTCGTCGCTGCCTTCTAACAGCAAGAGTTGTGATCCTTTACACTGGTGAGTCAGTGTAAACTTCTCATTACAGTTGAAGCATAGCCCTTGTGCCCTTCGTTTCTGCATCTTGTCCCAAGTGAGCCTCTTCATAGGTAGAGTCGTCTTGAACTTCGTTGGGGAAGGGGAGTCAACGATGGGTTGGTTGAAAGGCTGAGTGGCTTTCTGTTGGCGCATCAGTTGCTCGTCTCTCATCCGTGCAAGGCTGGTAACTTCTTTCAGTGACCTTGGTTTGAACATCCAGATGTTGTCAGCTATGTCTGGCTTGAGACCTCCCATGAACGTCCCGACTAAGGCTTTTTGTGTCCAACCGTGTACCCAGTTACCCAGCCGCTCAAACTCTTTTTGATAGTCATGTAAGGAGCCTACCTGTTGGATTTTTGACAATGCTTCGTCAAAGTCCTCACAATTGGTAGGACCAAACCGTGCCCAAAGTTCCTCTTGAAACATCTCCCATGTCACCTCCTTGCCTTCTTTCTGTTAGGATCTGCGCAACCATTGCCACCATTGGTTAGCCTCGCCTTCCAAATGGAAGGAGGCCAAGGACACCTTGTGAGATTCAAGGGTGCCTTGATATTCAAAAAATTGATCCACTCTTGTGAACCATTCGGTGGGGTCATCTCCGGCAAACCGAGGAAACTCCAACTTGGCTAATTTGGAAGAGAACAGCTGCCGTCCGACTTCGGAGTTGTCTCGAGATTCTTCTCTCACGTTGCGAGAACGTTCCGTAGGAGAGTTTGTCTTAAGTTCGAAGCTGTTGTTAGTCGATGCAACTCGGTTGGAGAGTAGGGCTTCCGATAATTTGTTGATGGCATCTTCTAACTGATGAAACTTATCAGATACGCCCACCTCCATACGACTAAAGTGATCTTGGAATCTTCCAAGTCCAGCCTCTAACCTCTCAATTCTCTCCTTGTTAGTAGCCATGGTACCTAGCTCTGATACCAAATGTTAGGTCCCAGTCAAAGCTAGAGCTGAAAAAAAGTATTTTGCTTAGGGTGAGAACAAACCACCAGATTTTATTGAACTTTCAACTGCCCTTCCATACTGGTTGGGTGGTGTTTAAATACAAGAAAATTCTCAACTTCCTTCCACTAACATAGCCACTGATTAAGGGATTAGCTTCTCTATTAGCTAGCCAATCCCTAAGCCATAGGAACATAACCACTTAACCACTAACAACCTGACCTATTTTTAAGTAATAACTGCTTAACCAAATTGACCGCTTCCTAAGGGGCCAACACCTTGGCTTTATTGACCTATTCCTACGTACTGATAACAAGGAAATAGAATAGAAATAGACTAACAAGAAAATGAAGCAGAAAAGGAAGGAAATCCGTTGCGCTTCTCCAGATGCCACGTCACGCCTTGCATGGGCCATGCATGGTACGTTAATCAACGTATTTGGGATTCCTCACGGGTGTTCTCAGCGACCTTCATGGCTTATCACTCTGTTTGTTTCTAGTCTTGCATCTATTCATTTGTAACTATGATTTGCACTCCTATTCGATGTAAAATTTGTCTGTCTCATTTGTACTTGTTAGCAGTGTAAATTTTTATCTTAAAAAAAAACTGATGCAAAATTTGCACTACCTTCCTCCTACCTTAATTCTCTCTCATATAAAGTGAGGACCACATCATTTTGCTTCCTATCTCACTCCTAAGTAAATAACCATTTTCAACCTCCATTCTCAGGCATACAATATGAGACTACCGACCACACCATTTTATTTCTCACAATCAAGGTCAAATTCTCTTGCTTAGTTCCATTAGACGTTGGTGGTGTTCAAAATTATACTTTATTGATTGTAATATCTTTCGCAATAGGGTTGAAACTAATTTAAGGACTGTTCGTGAATGTTTTTTTCCACTATTTTTGAAAGAGCAAATCTCTTAAAGTATTCCTAAGTTTTAGGAAATTGATACATATATATGATACATAGAATTTTTTAAAATCTCAATATTATCCTCTGTGGTCAATTTTATCCATTATTCTTCAAATTTTCAAAATAAAACTCAATAGATCCAGATTTTCAACATTACCTCTACTCTATATCTTCTCCGAGCTAAATCACAACCCTTGAAATCTTATGGGAAATCCATTTCCAATCAATGAACACTAATTTGACGCAACAAGATTAACAAACCATTCCCAAATCCTTGGCAGATCTCAGCAGAACCACTGCTCCACCAAACATAGAAGAATGGGTATGGACCCACCATAAGTTCAGAAGCTTAGGCTTCAAATGAGTTCAAATCAGCCCCTCACAAAATTACGGCCCCCCCCATAATGTCTCACAGTACATCCCAGCCGTGTATTGGGAACATCTCCCGATGATATACTAGAAGTTATGATGTCATCACCTGAAGAAGTTACCAATACACGGTAGGGATGTGCTGTGGGACGTTGTGGGGAGCAATCTTGTGGGGGGCTGATTTGATCTCGCTTCAAATGGATTGATCAAGTTACCGACAACATTCACTTTCCTATCCATGAGTTGATTGAGTTACTATAATGCCTTGGAAAGTATGAATAAACCAAAGAAGGCAGAAGAACAAGGAAAGCATTTGTCTCTATAGCTGGCTATGTACTTAACAATTTAAATAAAGGGTATCAATTGAACTGGATTTGGTCCAATCCAATCCGGTCCAATATGAGTCCATTACAATTGGACCAGGTCAAATCCAATACAATAAATATTTTGGACCAATCCAATTTAATGTCTGAATTGTCTAATCTTTCAATTTGGTTTTAATTTAGATTTGTTCCAATCTAAACCTGGTACATTGATACCTATATTCTTATTTTCTAACAATAGACTGGATGTTGGTGCAATCTGACCCAGTCCAGTATAAATCCACAATGGATGGATCAGGTCCAATCCAATCCAATAAATATTTGGACCATTGACACCCCTATTAAACATGATTCTCCTTTCAAGTGTTCAAAACCAGACAGGGATTCATCCATCTAATCTAAAAAGTCTTCGCTGCATTTTGGCATTCCTTATTTTAACGATTTATCTCCTTTTTGCAGTTAAAAGCTCAATATTCATAGCAGAGTTTTAACTGCAAAAATGAGGTAAGTCCTTAAAATAAGGAATTTCAAATGCAGGCTTAGTGTTTTCTGAGTCCACTATGATTTACGGTATTTTCCACCCCCAATTTCGTTTGATTTTGACCCAAAAAGATCTTGTCTTGAATCACCACCTTTCCAAGGTGAATTTGGGGCTTGAAAGTCCATTCTTCATTAATGACAGGAGGAAAAAATAAATCCATTCAAGATACCTAATTCTTGAATTGAGATTGGAGACAATCTGATCCAACGAATCAAACCGAGGTTGATGAGGCAGCAGAGACTGTGGAGGATTACCCATAAGAATGACGTTGGAGGTTTAAAAACGTTGTCGACAGAAAAGTCAAGCAGACTGGTTGTCTTGAATCACCACTTTTAAATGTTGTAAGTTTATTCAAATGTTTCATTTTAAATGATGGATAAAATAATCTTTTCTATCTTTCTTTCTGTTAGTGAACACTGACGTCAAGGGAGGATTTAGTCAATTATCAGAAAACTTGGGATACTTTAGACAATTTCCAAACAGTATGGGTAGAGTAAGTCAACTTCTTAAAACTTAGGGGTATTCTAAGAAATTTACCTTTTAAATGTTGTAATTGGGACTGTTGCCTCCACCTAAGCGTTTTTCAATGCCACATCAGCAAACCATGCTTTTCCTAATTTCCAATGCATGGTATGAGGAAACATTTTTTTTTTTGGAAAAACACCCAACAAACAGGTGATGTTTTCCCCCGTACGAAATTTCCTATGTGGCACTGTTTCCTGGAAAATGGCATTGGTTTTAAACATGGCCAAAAACACATTCTTGAACTGTGTTCTTTGTTTCAAAAAGCAAACAAGTTGGTTTTATTTCAAAAAATAAATCAAATTTTTAAAACCATCAAAATAATTAGAGAAATTGTCTAAAAGTCACCATGACTTTTCAGCTAATATTTCTCTTAAACTCATCATACCTTTTTAAAATGTCCAGGGAAGCCCATGTCATTAAGTTGACCTTAAATAAACTAACAGATGTTGATAGATTACTATTTTACCTTTTGCTCTATTGAAAATGGGAAATAAAGCAAAGCTTTGATAAAAAAAAAACAAAAATATATTTCAAATATTTCAGTCAAAAAATTGTCGTGCCCATTTTACATATATATTTAAGTAAAATGGGAGCTTCAAATAAAAAAAAAAATGCTTTGACTCAAATCAAACTCATCTAATGCTCCACATCTACTTGCACAGCACAACTGCCACTTTATCTTTTTTAATTTCAAATGCAACAAGAACCGAGATCAAGAAAAGATCTATAGTCAAGAAGAGGACATGTGGATTTATAGGATCCAATGTCCACTTCTATAGATGTTAGTTAGAACAAACTGTATTGAATAAAAAATATGTTTAATAAGGCTGGCCCGACATGTCATTCAGGGGCAGTTTGGTCGTAAAAATTGCACTATGCTGATTTAGACAATTTCTGTCAATGAATACTAACGGTGCTCTAACAGATGACGAGTTTTGGAAAACAAAATTTCACTGACATGGGGTTCCCTAATCGTTTTGAAAAATTAGGTGAATTTAAGAGAAATACTGAAAAATCATAGTAAGTTTTAGATAATTTCTCAAATAATTATAGTTTTCAAAACAAAAGCACTGACAATAAAAAGGTGATTAAATTCGTTAATTTCAAAACCTTGGCCATAATCAGGTGATTCAAATTATGTGAGTTGTGAAATTTGCCATTCCTAATATTTTATTATCAAAATGTGCATAAACATTAGCTCAACCTTTCATTTATGATAATTATATTAATGCAAATTTATTATATATAATAGACGTGAAGCGAATGGAAGTTCACCATCCAAACTCAGGCCATCTTGTCTGGTGGGCCTCTGTCTGTTGTTTTCCGAATGACTTTGAAGGGATAGATGGTTTTGGCACTTACTAACTTGAGGAAGAAATGATAAAAGGAGTCCGGAACATCTCTAGTATTTATATTTATTATATATGAAGAGATGTTCCCAATACGTTGTGGGATCGGTGTGCGACGCGCTAAATGAGGAGCGGATTCTAATTCTGTTAAAAGTGCTTTTTCCTCAATTTTTAAATGCAATTTAATTAGCTGCCAAAAAAAGTGGCTATTCTAAAAAACGTGTTGTTTTATATAGTAGTTTGCTTTTAAGCATGTGGATTTATTTGGCTAGAAATTTACAACATATGCTTGGAATCACTTTCTTTCAAAATTCAAATCATCACATTATTAATAATTTAATATCCATTTCCATCCTTTAGTTACCTAAATTATTCTCCAGAGAACATTGATTTCTTCGTGGAAACTTCAAAGAAAGTGTCCAAGGGAACATGCTAAAGTCTTAATTAATTATAAAAGCATGCCGTGTTTGGTCTTGTTTTTGTTTTCTTTTGTTGATTTTTATACCTATTGCAATGAAAAAATGCTTAAAATAAAACATGCATATGATATGGCTAAAAAGTGGTGGGATCTGAGGATTTTGGAATCCTTAAATGTGACCAGCTCATGTTCACATGGATCATTAATTCTTTTATGGGATTTAAAAAACAGCTCCCATCCTAGGGTATTAAGAAAGAGATTAGAGTTTAGAGATATCTCAATGACAATTGAACATTTTCAATTATACCCATTTGTGTCTTCACCTTTGTTTTCTGAATTAGGTAGGGAAGTGGCTGTATAGGATTTATATATGACATTTTTCAAGCCCAAGACTAGAAAAGGACATGAATTATTATTATTATTATTATTAAACCTAATTTTATCTACATATAAGCATAAATTTAAATGTTTAATACCATCAAATCTTGAAGGGAACAAAACATATCAGATAATAGG